CCATAGAACGCTGAAGCCGCGGTTTGTATATTTTGTTTATTGATTTCTTTTTTTTAGGCACTATTAGCGCGCATAGCGAGACGCTGACAGACACTTGAATTCGAATCTACCTCGTGCATTAACTGAGGCTACAGCGCCGCCTTTATGCTGGCGTCTCTCAGACGGTACCGTCGGTATTTCATGGCCTCGTCTTGAGAACACGCTCGCACCAACTGGCTGTAAGAAACAGGCTTATTATAATATACACATCCTCTTTCTTCCCTTCATCCCCCCCCCTCCCCCCTCTCCCCCCCCATCCCCCCTCTCCCCTCCCCCCCCCCCCCCCCCCCGAAAAAAAGTTTCAGGCTCCGTCACCGCCCTTGGACCCCTCCGTTTAGGCTTAGTACAGCGTCCGGCGTGGTGGAGCGGCCACGCCCCAAACGGAGCTAAGAATGGGGAGCGTATTCCCGAAAAACCCACAGGGGTAACCGCTTAACTTCCTGTATTGGGTGGTATCCAGGATGCGGGTGTAATCTCCGTTCTCCCTTAAGCTGAGGCTAAAAGGTCAGCCTTCAACGCTAACTTTTTGCCTTTACTAACGCACGTGTGAACGCGCAGGTACGTTCAACTAAAGCACTGCGGAAGCCAGGGAGCTCGCGCTGAAGGCAGAGCTTCTTGTAGTAACACGCGGTTGCATAACGACGGCGCTCTTGCTGCCGACGGATTTCGTCTACGTTTCGTCTGCTTTCTTTCGCTGGTCGGCTACACCGTTGGACGCTGCTCCCGACGCCATCTATCAATACGTGCACCAAAACGCGCCCCGCCACTCGACTTGGTCGTCCCCGTCGCCGTTCGTTGTTGACCTGCAGGGTCTTTTGGTCCTGTTTTCTTACTGAGAGAGAGCTACGCCTTGTAATTTTGCGAGATAAAATCACCTCTTAAATGCACCCTTTACGAAAGGTTTATATTTCTTAGAGGCGATTATTTTTAAGGCCCATTTAGGTGGAGCCTCTGCATTTCAGTCACGCTATAAACGGTGACGAAGTTCCCATGTCGGAATAATATCTACTGTAATAAATACATTATGTCAAAGGCCTACCCAAGATTTAAATTTGAAAACTGTGACATTAAGCTGCTGCGATCACTCGTAGTTCAGGAGGCTAAAGTAACTTCGCTAGACTTCCATTCATATAAAGCATGCTACTTAGGTAAACAATTTAAAATTAAGTTATAAAACTAAGGTGGTAAAAGTAGTAATACGTAACTAAAAAGAAGGAAAAGACAATTTTTAGTTTTGTTACTTGAATAGAAAAGTGCACTGCATAAACGATGAAAAAAAAAACACTTGTTTTACTGCGGAAGTGGTGCCTATTGCCAAAACGTGCAATATATATATTAAATCCTTTATCGGTTCGAACCCGTTCGAAGCGGTTTGAACCGGTTTGAACTGTTTTGTTTGTTTTTTTTCGTTTTCCGGAGCTGAACGAGAACGAACCGAAAGCCGTGAATTCGATCCGGAACTGAACCGATAAAACTTTCGGTTCGACACTCTGGAACAGACACAGGATCATTCTTTCATTTTAGGCAACATTAAGAAGAGTGTTCATTCTTTCAACTTTGCACCGCTAGAGGTGACATGGCCGCCACAGAGAGCGAACTTAAGGTGTGGGATGAAAGGAAAGAGGGCTCATCATATTGTCGGTGGCGCGGACTCCCGCCAGTGAAGTTCGTACGGAGGACGAAACAGACATTTGCGTAAAAAAGCAAAACATACCCCAAAATACGACACGGTTCGTAGTGAAATCATCTGCTAAGTGGTTCCAGCACACCAACTCGGCTAAACATTTTCGCACTTTTTTAATCTCGTTTCTACTTCTCCAGTTGTTGTTCTTTTGTATATAGGTCGATAATGAACCACCGCGCCACATCCGAAAGCAAGTGATCAACCCGTACCGCTATAGCTATCGCGATGTAAACTAACCCGTCATTCTCAGATTCCGGGCGCCACGTGACATTCACGTGCTGCTCAGAGGCGCTTCCTAACCTGGTTCTCGCCGCGAATGAACATTGTGTTGTGATTTTGGGAAAAAATGCAACAAAAGATGGTCGGATGATAAAATCTGTATTTTGAGTCTAGCACACCAACATTATCTAGACCACTACCCAGGTAGCACGCCAGAAAAACGCCCAACTTGGGTGAAAATGTGGCAAGCGTGATTGCCTACATTAAGTCCAGTTAGGTTTTGGTCCATGGCGCTTTTCAGTGCCAAACTACCTTGCCTAACTATAGCCCTTGTTTGGCGATACTAGGGTACGCCAAAGATTGGCTTAATTGTGCCAAAGTAAGTGCCTGACTTGAGACCTAAGTGCTGAAGTAAATCCTAATTTGGAGATTCGGGTCATGACAATGTTCGACTCTTCTCTGGCTAGCCACTGGAGTGCCAAATAAATGCCAAAAGTGCCAAAGAAAGCCCAAAGGCCTGCCGAAGTTTGGAATCTGTCTGGTGTGCAAGAGGAGTGCTCTTTCACGCGCTCCAGAAGAAAATTGAATTAAATAGGCGTTGGAAACACGATGGCCAGATGTCATACTCTCCGTTCCCAAGCAGACCGATGATACTTGGCAGTACCTTACCAGTACCATTCCAGGCCGAAAGTCGGTTCTAATATAGCTCAAATATCCAGTTTTGCACCACCGTTTGATATCCGGCAAGTGTCGCCGTACAGTCGTCTTGCCCCGGCTTAGTGTTCGCGCAATATCGTGCGAATACTCTGCAATACCTATGCTCTTTATTGGCCGGACGTCGCACAAGTCTGTGTTGTATATATACTAGGTTTCAGATCATTTGTTGCATATCAATCGCATACACGGACGAACAATTGTTATTTTAATCGCTCGCAGCAGTTATTAAACCACTGTCAATAGACACAGCTTATTATCGACATATCTACGTGTTTATACTTCTCTGTAAAACAAAAAGCAGTACATTATAATATAGTATTAATATTGATTTCATGCCAAGCAAACCTCATAAATTAAAACACACACAAAAAAACACGGAGATTAAAAGGAAAGCAGAATTACTATCAGAAGCATGCTTGGAGTGTACTTACTAATAAAAAAGCGGTATCATGTAATCCCTAATATATGCACAACCCCACTCGGGCAGCCGAAAAAACATAGTCGAGGGAGAAGATTCCGCACATTCAAATAACGTGTCGTCGTCGGCGAAGAGCAGTTTTTGCCGAAGTGCGTCCAACAAACACAGCACAAGAATTCCGCGGACTCCGGCAAAAAAAAATAGCCATTACCGAAATATTGACATAGACGTATTCCGGCCGTTTACGACAAAAAACCACGGTCGCGTCTGCAGCGCACGAAACAACACAACACTGAAAAGAGCATTTTAAAAACCGGACCTACCTGGCCGCCTATTCCTATAACCTGGCAAACTGCGAAAACAACAGACCCAGAGATCCCATCAGCGCGATAGGGAGAGTCACGTGACAAATTTTCCTCCAAACGCTTTTGTTCTACGTGTCCTACGGAGAGAGGTCACGCGTTTCTCTGCACCCTTCTGATTGCTGACAGCCACACGAAGACACAAAACCAGGTGGGGAGGCTTGTCAAAAGGCGAGGTCGAAAGGGCATGAACAATGCAGCAAAGCTACTTCTGCATTTTTGAGTGAAAGTGAAGGCCGCTCGCATGCCTGGTACCCGAGGCTTAGAACTTCACCTTTGGTTAGAGGGGGAGGGATATGGGGAGTGAAAGACTATGAGGGAAAGGAGCGTCTTTGTTGATGCTGTCAAATGCTTCAATGAACTTTCAAAAACATTGCCGCCGCCAGGATTCCATCTTAGTTCCCCCGAGTACGAAGAGGGCGCAATGCCACAGACCCACGGTCGCTTCCGCTTTGTGTTGTCGCTAAGATTTCACAGTGCTCAATCACAATGCAAGACAGGCACAGAGCTACGCTCGCTTTTGCAATGCGACGCGTAATAATGGTATCTGTTGAGGACACGAGCGCAGGTCAGTCTCTCGCAGCGCTTGCTCGATGGCAGCAGTTTCTGTAACGTTGAACCAGTCTCACGGTCCGTCCCGATGTTGACGTGTGCACTTACGCGCGAGTACAACAATCTGGCGCTATCTGCGTTCGCAAAGCCTTGTGCAACCCCGGCAAAACATTCAGCCCAGCTTTGGCCTGAAAAAATCAAGAGACAGCCAAAATAAAATCAAAAGTTGCAAGCAGAATAAACATAATTTCTATTTAATTAAGTTGCAGACCACCTGCCTACATTCAATACCTGATCAGCCGAACTGCAAGGCAGTAAGCCTAGTTCTGGCAGTTGTTTGTGAGTTTGGCCCGTAGCTGTCAGATGAGAGAGATGAGATATGAGTTTGGCGCCTTGGGCCCAAAAGATGGCAAATGAGAGCCGAACTACCAGGCAGTAAGCCTAATTCTGGCGCTCGTTTGGCGATTTTGGCTGAAAGAGGACAAATAACAGCCGAACTAGCGGGGAGTGAAGCCTAATTTCGGCACTTCTTTTGCGAATGAGACCATAATACCCTAACTCTTACTAAACAAGGCCAAATTTGGCTCTACTTTCGCTTCGGGTTTTCCAAGGCCCAAAGCTCTTAGACAATGGACCTTTTTCCAGTAAGGAGCGCCTCATGACGGTTTCGCCGCCTAATACAAATGGAGGGCAACCGGACTCGCCTTCTCCCATGGAAACAGATTGGTGTCGCAAGAAAACAGTGCCCCCCAAGAATGGCGAAAGGGCGGTCAAGGTCAAGGGAAAAGGGTGTGCGCGTGCGCAGACGCTTACTGGAAAAAGGTCCATTGACAAATTTTGGCCGAGAATTCGGTGCTATCTGGGCAATAATTTTCGCCCTTTCAGGTTTCTGACTATGAGAGTAGGGAGTCGCGGCTTCTCATATTCATATACCGACGACATGCGTGCTGTGCTAGGTAAATGTAAGCAACGCTTATATATTTACTCTGTATATTTTTTTGTTCACTAGGTGTGTCTACACTATCCAATTCGAAAGAAGAATGGCGATCTACAGTTGGCGCTTCACGGAAGCTTCTTGCCTGTGCCCTGTCACTCCGTGTTTGAAGAAAAGAAGGTGGGTTCGGAGAAGCTCAAAATGTTACTCCTGTTACGGGCCCGCTTTGTAAAAAAGCAAGCAACTGGCTATTGTTCTAGCGTGCCTCCAGTTTATTTACACCATTTACAAGAAGACTCGTTGTTGAAGAAACCGCCCAGCGCCGTCCGCCGATAGACCAATGGCTAAATTACCCAAGCATGAGGGAGAATGCTGGAAATGTATATGTCTACGCGCCGCACGCGCTCGCCTTCCCCGTATGAAAGATGAGAAATAAATATCCAAAATAAGGCGTTGACGAACGCGCGTGCAAGGAACCAATTGTTTTAAACTTTTTTTTTAGAACAGCTGCTGCTGCAGACGCCAGCACGTGCAGCGCGTGTAACTACACTCGCCGCATGCTCCTGGCTCTTGGGTAATTTAGCAAAAGGTCTATAGGCTTCCTGAGTTGCCCAGGAGGCACTGCGAAAAGGACCTTGTCAGAGCCGTATATTGGGAGAGTATGGTCAATAGGTGCAGCAAAGGCCGCGCCAGCGCCGAACATTCCCCCCGCGGTTAGACCGTGAATTAAATATGCGACAACGCGTCGACCAATCAGCAAACTGTGATGTCACAATATTGGAAACGACATTTAAATCGTGAAATAGAATCGTTCGATCTCGGCGTCTCGTTGGCAATGGTGCCAATAGTAAATCAGCAACAATGATCATTGGGTGAGGCGTGGACGCGTTGACTGTGGCTACCAAGGAGCTATTCAAATCGAGCTAATAATCGAGACACTAATGTCGCTTCCGCGCTTCTTTCTGGACAAAAATATGACTGGTGAGTGAGCGCCAATGTGATCGAAGAGAGACGACGTCGCGATCTCCGCTGGCAAAGAACGGATCTGTGCAGACACCCGGTTTTGCAGAGCGCAGTGAACAGGAACATGCAACTTTCAGAATCCACAAGTCACAGGTGTCATGCTATTCTGCGAGCGCGAGCACTTCGCTATTGTTCCCTGCTCCACCGCTCAAGCGTTCGGGAAGAATATTTCGAAGTACCAGCTCGCGCTTGTAGCCTCTGCGGTTAGCCCATGTATGGTCGAAATATAAATACCACTTCTACGTGTTGCGTGATTCTTTTGCTCTCCGAAGTGGCAAGCGAAGGAACAGTGAGCTAGGAATCGTGCAAACTGTTTGACTTGGGTGTGTTGCGCACGAGGAGAGCCTACGACGGTACTTGTTGACGCACTGATGAGGGGTATTAGAAAAGGAGCCATACAAACAGTCAACCTCTCGTAGGGCTCTGCACCGCAACCACGCAGTTTGCTCTGGTTTGGAACGCACGTTCGTTTATTCTACCGCTGAATATGGACTTAATGAAAACGTTACATGCGCCAAATTTTCAGTCTCCAAGAGGAATTAATGCCTTTCCACTCTAGCGACGCTCAAACGGCTCAAATCAGTCGTGTCGGAAATTTAGAGCTGACGACCACCGCTAGGGGCTGTTTCACGGCCTGTGGTTGGTTACGAGCTTCTCGCCTTTTCAATCAAATTCATGGCCAAACTCCCCGAATAAACGGCTCTGGACCTTGTTAGGACGTGTTTTGGGAAGTAAAAACTCGAACGTCTCAAGCTCTCGCACACGTAGAAGCCTCCCTGCTCTGGTGCGGAATGCAATGACAGGAAAAAAAAAACCGAAGAAACAAAACAAAACTTCTAACGGCGTCGAAGCGCAGGTCAAGGCTAAGGCGATAAGATCGTGAACCAAGAAACGCCGTATCACGCGTTAAAAATAAAAAAGGGTAAAAGAAAAAAAAAAAAAAAACGTTGGCACGTCAGAGGTTTTGGCGTAACCACTCGGAGATAAAGTACGCGTACCCTAGCGGTGGTGGTATGAATCTGGAACTTTCGATTATATTTCGGTTTTTAATCTAGCCGATTTCGGACGTCGAAGGGTGTTTTTTCCGTACTTCAGCTCTAAACAGAAAGAAAAAAGAGCTCAGCGTATCTGTTACAAGTAGTACGATGCCCAATCAGGTGAGCTTGTACTACCCAAAATGACAGCGCCACGTTTGTTGAAAGCTTCAACGCAGGAGGCCTATTGCTCGTGCTGGTCTTTCTGGTGTCCAACTTCGTGATGAATGCCAGAAATCGCGCGGTCTAAAACCACCTACCTTTCTTTGTAATGCGACGGCTGAAATGTACTTCAAGTATTCTGTTATTGGCCTCGAGACCCAGATTGAATTAAGGGAAGCGTACTTTTGTGTATCAATGGTTTTCTGAGGAACGTGGTGATTCCCTCTATCTACAATGCGGAAGGAGCAAATCACCACAATCACGGCACAGAGCGCGGCCAAGGGCACAAAGTACTAGGTCTTAGCAGTTGATTCCAGTGCGTGAGTGCTGCAGTGGCGCCTCCCATGGCTTCGGCCTCACGTCCTTGGCATTATTTTTACTCCAAGTACGTGTGAAACTAAGTGTAGTTATGGTTTTCTCCATATGAGCCGTGCCGATCGAATGTCGATGCGAATATACGCACTTAAAGCACTCGATCTGAATATTTATTTATTCTGCTGACCTTGCATTGCATTATAAATTCAATAATTTAGTAAAAATTATCAGCCGCATTCCTTTATAAAAATTGTTTTACTTTTTATTTAAAACGTGTTGACTTCTTGTTGACGTGGTCAACAAAACGTTTATTGACTTTGTGTTGTAACTTTTCTTATGATTTTCTTCAGCCTGAGTCAAAAGAAAAGCTGTTGACTTTCTATTAACTTTATGGTGATTTTTTTCTGCTAATGTTCAGTTGACAGTGTCATCACAATGACTCAGGACGTTTTGTTTACTTGGTGCTTAAAATTTTCAGTTGATCTCTGTAGCCAGTGTCCATAGAAAAGCTACATGCTTTCTGTTGACTTTTTATTGAACATTGTACACCTCGACTAGATGTCAAAAATCACTAAGTTTCTCAATAGTCTATGACAAGGTGAGAACGGTAGGGAGCAGCTTCCAGTTGTCCTGCCTCTAGCGCGAGCCTTCTACCCTTGACAATGCTTCGGCGTTCGTGCAGCTCGAGCGCACGCCTACAGTCAAAGCGCGACAGAAGGCACGAGGCGCGTGCTGAATGCCTGGCGTTCGGAAGACACGCCCTGCCGTTCTCACTTTGTAAGTGACTATAGTGACTTTAATGATCATACCCTGTTGGAAAGTTTCGATGATGGAAAGATGACGGAAAAGGCTCATACAAGCGTAACCGTAATATGGGACATCCTATACAAGCGAATCGGTGGATCCAGTATAGTGGATTACGGCGGAGCGATACAGGTGGGCGGAACCATACAAGCGTGTCGTATTATGGGACATCCTATACCAGCGTAGTGGAATATGGCGGAACCATGCGGAACCATACATGCATAACATAATATGGGACAACCTATGCCAGCTAAAAGGCGATACCAGCACGGTGGAGCCACATGGCTCCAACATGCTGGTTTCGCCTTTTCACTGTTGTACAGGGCAATTTAGTTTTAAGCTTTACATACATGTTTAGAAAGGTCGTGAAAGCTAAATTAATGCGGTTTGTGCAGGCGAGTTATACGGCCAGGGGTACATAGTATAGGGACCAAATCGTAACAATCAGTCAGATAATTAAATACAATTTGTTAATTAACTTTTTAATTAGTGAAAATGAAAATATGGTTTCAATTAGAAACTTGCTGACTCATTGAAAACCACAAAATCAACTCTTATTAGAAGGATATAATGCAGGGGTAGCCTTTTACACGTTCTGTAAAAACGCTTTATTTAGACGAGTTTCTAGGTTTCAGTTTCTTATCAGAGCTCATCTCTGCGCCCAAGGTCCTGTTCCCCCTTAGACACGCAATGCACGGGAACGCGACAGAACAGCACACGACAAAACAGCACGCGACAAAACAGCACGGTCAATACAGCACGCGTCAAAACAGCACAGCGTCAAAACAGCACGGCGACAAAACAGCACGCGTCATAATAGCACGCGACAAAACAGCACGGCGTCAAAACGGCACAGCGACAGAAGAGCACGTGCCAAAACAGCACGGTGTCAAAACAGCACAGCGACAAAACAGCACGCATTTAAAGAGGCTGTAATAGGTAGCGTTTTATGAAAACAAGACTGAACGTAAAGAAAAAGGGTTGGATATTGCATGGCATTATTTAACAGTTAGTGGAGAAACAATAAAAAAAAGTACGCTGGCGGCGCACTCAAGCCAGTGTCCCGAGTGCTGCTGCTGTGTGATTGCTAAAATCAAATAAAGTTAGCAGTAGTTACCACTACTTAACTACGCTAATCTCTGAAGAGATTGGGTAGTAAGAGAGGATACCTTCGCGTCGATCTTGGCTTCGTTGTCTGGTGTTTTTTGAAGTATCAGGGAAAGAGGAAAAGTTATTGGGAAAGAGATATCAATAAGTTCAAGTTATGAAGTGCCTGGTTTGTGGCGGTCCGGTGGGGTTCCGTAGTACTCGTCGTTTCGTAATTACCACCTAAGCGTAAAACATCCCCCACCACCCCCCCCCCCCCCCCCAAAAAAAAAAAAGCGGGAGATATGCCGATTACAGATGCATTGATAGAACCGGTAAGATAATGTGACTTTAATGTGGAGCGTATTCAAGGTGTATCATGGGCACCGATTCTGCGGGGTTCATTCGCCGTGAATGAAATCTCCTGGAAACACGGGGATGGAGCTTGCAGGCGAGAAGTTGTACTTTTCGAGTTAAATTCACAGATTATTGCCGACGCAAGTCTTGATCGAGTGGAAACCGGTGAAGCAGTAACATGCTGCAGCCTCAATGCTGTGGCCTTACACTGCAGCATGGGCTGAACACACCGTTGCCGCACGCACTTTCTGTTTTTTTTTTTTAAACAACTAACGGCAGCACATTGCCGTGCGATTGAATTATTTATTGCACACGATATCACCCTCAAACTTGTGCGTCAAAATGAGCAAAATTGCTCGAAAATTGTGGTGGTTTAGCTTGGCTATGCGTCGCGTGAGC